GGACACCTGAGGCAACCTAGGGAATCACGTCTCAATTGTGGGAGCTTCTGGAAAGAAGAAAGGCCGTGGCAGATCCTCGGCCGCTGGCTTCGATGCTGAAATGCTGACCTTGAACCCCGCCTGCCTCATGGGCAGGGATGGGGTTGTCTAAGGTTGCAGGTGCCCAGCGTCTCGGGCCAGGGAGAGGAAGGGAAGTCCCTGGGAAAGACGTTTCTGATAAGAATGCAGACAGACAGACAGGAAGATAGACGGGTCTCGTTCCTTCCCAGACACCCCCACGTCTGCCCGGGCAGACAGATGGGCCTTTCCTCCCAGCTTTATAGATTAATGCATCCTTCTTATCAATTATGGAGACAAGAAAGTGTAATTTTCTCCCCATGTTTATACTGCTCAGGATTAATCTGCCTATAAATGGATAATCTGTCAGCTCTCGGGGACACTGAGTGGGGAGGGGGTGGGGCAGGAAACGGGGAAGAGATTTACCAGTGGGTAATGCCATCTGCTTTATTAGGTTGTTTTATAAACCTGACATTCAATTTGTTCAGGAGGACTTGGTGACAGATTATTCTGTAAATTCCCAAATAATTACGATAAGCAGAGAAAGAGGGAAAAAGGAGAGAGGGAGGTGGGTTTGGAGGGGGGCTGTCGCCAGCACTGCTGTGAGTCATGGTCCCAGGGACGGCATCCATCCTTGGCCCCCTCGGAGGGTGGCTGGAGAAAGGCTGCGCTGCAGAGGCAAAGGACTGACAAAAAGGGCCGGAGAGCCCGACAAGTCTGGGTCTCATCCATAATCCCCCCCATTTTCAAACCTTCAGCTCCACTCTGCCCAATGAGATGGTGGAGTCATGGGAATGGGGATTGTGTTATCTATATTATATTATATTATTATATTATTCATTCTCCTGTCATCTGGTCTGAATCCTGTCCTCTCCTTACTAGCCATGAGAACGTGCGTAAGTTACTTAGACTCTCTGTGCCTCAGTCTTCCTCACTGTAAAATCTGGGCAGCAGTGGTACTTGGCTCCTGTGGTTGTTGCCAGGATCAAGTTAGTTCCCGTAATTTGAAAGCACATCCCTGAAAGCACTTGGAATACTGCTTGGTGCAGACAAAGTGCCATCTAAGCCGTCTGCTGCGTTTTTGTTATTTATCCCAGTACTGAGGCCCAAGCTGAAGCTATAGTACACTCTCGATAGAGGCCAGATGGTGGAGTAGGAAGAATCAGAATCCGGGAGCTGAGAGGCCCCTTAGCGATCACAGGGCTCACCCCTCCCCTCCACCCCTGCTTGAACAGTGCCGGGGACCAGGAGCTCCCTACCGACCGCTGGGCAGCTCACGCCAACATCAAACTGCTCCAAGGGGTCCTCATGGAAAGCCAAAGCCTGCACTCCCCTAGCAGAGCCTCCCCGAGGGTTAAAGCTGCTGGGTCTGCACAGGGAGGCAGGGGGGAGCCCCTCTGGTAAAGCATACTCTTGATGATGGACTCTGAGAGCTCGTTTTTCAGCAGAATGCTATTCGATTACCCCGGGCATGTTTATCATTTAGTTCCCGAATGCTGCTTTCCCTGGCTTCTGTAATCTCATTTACTGCTTGTGCTGGGGTGGGAGCGGGTGGGGGAAATAAGGGCACCCAGCGTGCGTCCTCAAGGCTCACCTACTGGACCCCTGTCCTTGTGTTCTGGGTACATGCGTGCGTTCATGGGGTCCCATGCAGGGAGAAAAGGGAGATGAGATTGTCATCTTTCTTGCCTGCTCTATCTGGCCATCTCTGTGCCTTTGTTTTCTAAGGATGGCTCTCTGCTACCTCAGCCTGTTACCAAGATAATGAGGCTCAAGAAGTGGAGTAACTCTTCTGTGGTTTCCCACGAAGACAGCGTCTGCGCCTCGGGTGACAGTCGAATAGCACCCTCCTCCCACCTTTGAGTTCACTCTTCACCGCGGGCCTCGTGTCATCCACGTGTAAATATCCCATGCACCAAGAAAATCACTCCTTTTAGAAACTAATGCGTAATCAGGTTAAGTAATTTGCTTCCATAGTCATACATGCAGTCGGGGTATGGACTGTGCAGCGGCTGCTATTGTGCTGCCTGTCTGGAACGAATCTCCCACCTCTTGGGTTAAAGCACCCTCTTCTCTGTGGGAAATCCACTCCAAGTGGTGTGGGTGGGGCTGTCACTATCCTGCTCAGGGGTGAGCAGAAGACCCTGACCTGGCCAATCAGAATACCTGTGCCCTTGGCCACAGTAATGGGATCGGGGATGGTCATGTGACCCCAAAGTCAGTCAATCAGATCCTTCTATAGAAGTCTTCTCCAAAGTTTATTGGGAAAGGAATTTTATTCTTCTTGGAGTTGCTAATCCGGTAGGATGTTAACCTTAGGCTACTGGTGTTCACTGTGCTCACCTGCCCGTGATATGGAGGGAAAAAGCCCTGGTGACACTGCAAAGTCCTACACCCAGCCATGCCTGAAGCAGTCATCTCTTCCAGACTTCTCAGTTACATGAATTAAAATATGCTCTTTATGCTTGGTGGTATGAGCTGTGTTACTGCCATACAAAACCTCACTAACATAAGCTATAATGAGCACCTTCTCCTCATCTTCAAAATTTACCCCACAAACTCGAGGTGTTTGTCAAGGGAGGACTGGCAGTTGGGTGACCTGAGTCTCAGCAGGATGCTCCTCTTCCGTTAGAGCCTCCCTTCCCTGTGGTTATCCGTGTGTGCGCCGACACGTGTTTTTCTTTCCTGTATTACAAAGTTTCTTCTACCCTCTTTCTAAAGACTTTTGTCTCCATCAATAATCACAAACATCTTGGTGATAGAAACAGCAAACATTTCTAGGTCGTCTTAGTGTCCATCAATTTCTGGTCCAAGGTTCTCAAGTGTCTGAAGCGGAGTCTGGTGGTTCGAGGGTATCCGCATGTTTGTGTGTGTACAAGTGTGTTCTTGGGAATGTGTGAGAATGAAGGGGGAGGGACTGCCAAAAAAGCGTACATGCTACAGATTAGAGGAGAGAACGAAGATCTGAGCAAACAGGACTCCTTGAGTTTACAGAATCCGAGAGGTTCTGCTCAGTACTTCAGCCGGATTTGGTTACCATCTACTCAGACTCCATCTTCTACCAAAAGATGACTACGGGAATTTACATGATTGTTGAAATACAGACAAGAATGGCATAACTGTGGCATTTACTTCCTTAATTATGTGTCCTGCCCTGGCACCAGGCCCACAGGGAGACCCCAAGAACAGGCCTTTTCTTCCATAGACCCCACAAGCCCACCCACCTGTGGCCCCCACCCACTGACCTGCCCAAAATCTCTGACTGAGCTGACGAGCAAAGGCCTTTCTCTTGAAGCCAATCTGCAAAGACCAGAAGAGGTAGCTGTTTCTCCAAACGCACAGACACTCATGCAAGGCTACAAGGATCACGAAAAATCCAGGAATCATGGTGCCACCCAAGGAACAAAATAAAGGTGCAGTAACTGACCCTAGAGAAAGGACCTCTACCAACTGCCTGCCAAAGAATTCAAACTAATGTGTCTTACAAGATGAAAAGGCAAGTCACGGACTGGCTAACTGGCTAATACTGACATTAGACTCAGGTCCAGAATATAAAAAAAACTCTTACAACTCAATAGTAAGAAAACAAACAACTCGATTTTTAAATTGGCAAGACAATTCACAAAAGAAGGTGTAGAAATGTCCATAAGCACATTAAAAGATGGCCAACATCTTTAGTTGTCAGGAAAATACCATTTAAAACCACAATGAGGTACCACTTCATACCCAACAGAACTAAAATATTAAAAATAGGCATTACCAAGTACTAGAATTCACATGCTTTTGAGGGGAGCATAAAATAGTGCAACCAGTTTGGAAAAGAGTTGTCAGTTTCTTGAAAAGTTGAACATATACCAGTCATTCAACTGGCAGGCATTTCCCCAAGAGAAATGAAAGTGCATGTCTACACAAGACTGATCTACAAATGTTCACAGCGACTTCATTTGTAATAGTATCAAACTGTAAATAACCTAAATGTCTATCAACAGGTGACTAAATGAACAAATTGGAGTACACTCTTACAATGAAATACCACTCAGCAGTAAAGACAAGAGTGAACTATTGGCATGTACAACTACATGCATCAATCTCAAAGACATATGCTGAGTAAATGGAGCCAGATACATAAAAAAATAGTGTTATTTATTTCCATGCATATGAAGTTAGACAACAGGCAAAATTAATCTATGGCACTAGAAATGGAATCAAGGATAGCCTGCGGTAGAGATGGGGGGTTGACTATAAAGGGCCATAGGGAAATTTCTGTGTGATAGAAATGGTCCTTTTGTAATTAGAGCCGTGGTTGTGTGACTAGATATATTTGTCACATCTCATCAAACTACACTTCAGATGTGTGTATATGATGGCAGGTAAAATATTCCTCAATGAATGAAATATTCCTCAATCAAGACAAAGAATGAGGGAGAAGAGTGATGAAAACTCTGAGCCCAGGTTGCCTCCCCCGCTTCTGTTCTTACTTCTTTAAGCAGCGCAGGGCAGGTCCAGCAGACCCAGGTGGAGAGGAAGCCTATATGTCAGAGCCTAGCTTTAGACCTCACAGCCCAGGACCCACAAGCAGGGGACAGACAGTCCAGACTTTACTTGGGACTCCGTCCCTAAGGGAACCCCAAGAAAAGAGTCCTTTCCCAGGGGCAGCAGACCCAAACAGAATCTCACCAAACTCTGAATTCTCTGCCCCTACCAGCTTGGGCAAAATTATTCAACTTTTCTGTACTTCCGTTTCCTCCCAAGGTTGTTGTAAAGATTCAGTTAATTAACCTCAAGCATTGAGAATAGAGTTCAGCAGAGAGAAAAGTACACAATTGGTATTGGCCGCAGTGGTGATGGTGGGGGTGGCCTTGGGCCTGGGGTGAGCGAGGTCAAGGGAAAAGAAGGCCCAGGCTGCCAGGAGGAAGCAGAAGAGCAGAGGAAGTCCACTTTACCTGAGTGTCTCTTGCTTCCTGTGCCGAAGGCCCTGTGCCTCGTGGGTGTGAGCATTTCCTAGGGCTGGGTGGCTTAAAACAGCAGACATTTGTGTTCTCACAGTCGGGATCTAGAAGTCCAAAATAAAGGTGTTTCAAGGCCATTGTCTCTCCAAAGTCTCTAGGGGAGACTTGCCTCTTCCAGCTCCTAGGAGCTCCAGGTGTTCCTTGGCTTGTGGCAGAATCACTCCCATCCCTGCCTCCACCTTTACATGGCTGTCTTCCCTCTGTGTGTCTGTCCGTGTTGAAATTTTCCTCTTTATATAAGCACACCAGGCACATTGGATGGGAGCCCACCTGCTCCAGGATGACCTCATTTTAACCTGCTTACATCTGCAGAGACCCTCTTTCCAAATAAAGTCAGATTCACAGGTACCAAGGAGTAGAACTTGAGCATATCTTTTTGGGGGGCACCAGTCAACCCATCACACTGGGTCTCTGTCTTACCCTGAATGCATCTGTGAGGATGTTCAGTGCCCACATATGTGCAGGTGAGCCATCACACAGGTCTGTGTGGAGCTGTGCATGTGTGTGCACACTTGCGTGCGCCCTCTGGGTGGAACACCCACTGGGCTCCGTATGTGAATTTTGGGTTCATATAAAACATGGGAGGTTCTGATTTCATAATAGTCTGATTTTCTCCCCACTCTGTTCTGAGATTCCTCACCTGCCTACAGGCCCCTGTGCTCACAAAATAACCAAAAGGATGGGTTTTTCAATGACTTTCCACTTGTAAAATGAATTATTTCCTGGATGACACATTTCTTCCTCTAATGATGTACTTACCCCCTCCATCAGCTCACCGTGGCGGAAAGACACAAGGCCCAAAATGAAGGCTGACTGGGCACGCACACATGCACAGGGTCACAAAGCTGCTCTGGTCAGGGTGTGGTTCTCAAAGGTGTCAAGGGCCTTGGGGAGCTCCTTGACCTGAGATAAGCATCTGCAAATCTCCCCAGAGCACCTCACACACCACCAGGAGTTTCTGATCCAGAACCACGTATGTATTTAAAAGCACGAGCATTAACATTAACATCTCAAAGTTTTCTTTTAAGATAAAAATCCCAATGATAATTCATCCGAAAAAATTACTCTAAAGCTGCCGCTGGCTTCTCTGCTGGCAGTGGGCGCAGGCAGGTGAGGAACTAAATGACACAGAAATTGGGGTTCGCAGAGGGAGTTTGAGGGCAGGCCCCAAATAGCAATGGCAATCTAGCCTGGCCTAGAGGTACCTGGACAGCTAGCCTGAGCAATAGAGCCTCTCCACCTCTTTTTAAAGAAATACAGTTTCTGAAGGTGGGAAGAAAGTTCTGGACTATTTCAGTTTCTGTATTCTACAGAAGAGACTGAGGCCTCAGGTCGGGGATCCATGTCTCCTTCCAGTAGCACAGCACGTTTCCCCTCACTTCCCGCCCCTGCACCCCACCTCTATAGACTCTGGGGATGGGGTGGAGACGGAGGAGAAGGGAAGAGCCTGGCCCCCACCCGGGAAGGTCTAGAAGGAGCCACGGCAGAGCAGGAGTAAGGCACGGAAATTCTCTCTCCCGCTGAAGGTCCCCTCGGCCCAGGCCTCCCTCCCAGAAAGTCTGCAGCATCCTGTCCCGCTGATCTGCCTAATCCGGAGACACTCTGCCTCTGCGCTTTCTGCTCTGTTACTCACAGTGGAGCGCATGCTGGCCCTCTCTCCTACTACAGGCCCTGGCTGGGCTGCCCACAGCCTCCCCAAGGCCACTGGACGGTGGCCATCAGTATGTCAGTCACAGCGCCTGGGTTTGAGATGCCTTTGAGGGAAGGGCCATGCACCATTTCAGAATCAGAATTTTCTACAGGTCTCCTTTAGAAAGAGGTCAGGAGACGAAAACAAGGAGCGTAAAAATTACAGGCGTACCTGTAAAGATGATGCTAAGAGGCATGCCTGGTCTGCCCAGTTGAGTGGCAAGCTTTTAAAGGCAGGTCCTGCTCTCACATGTGTATATCCCCTGTAGGACCCCCCACACACTGAGGCTTCACGGATATTTAATGACTGAAGGCGTGAGTTAGCGTCTCCTCCAAGCCTCGGACCCTTCCCTCCAAGAACAGAGTAGAGGGAGCACAGAGCTCCCTAGCACATCTGTGTATGGCACTCTGGGATAAATGCGTTTATTTGTTTACCCACAATCTCCCCAAATACACCAGAGGATATAAGCTCTATGCAGACACTTCATTTTATTCACAGCTGTGTCCCCAGCACCTAGTATAGCACCTCACACATAGTGGGTCCTCAACAAATGTGTGCACCAAATGAATTAATTGGTGTCAGGAGATCTGGGATCTAATTCCAGCTGGGCCTCCAGCTTGAAGAGTTGCCTGGGCCAGTCACTTCCCCTCTCTGGGTTTCACTTGCCCTCTGTGTGATGAGGGCTTCATGCCCAAAGATCTCCAGTGAGGTCACCCAATCTGCACATTTCTTGAAGAACATAGAACGTCTGTGTCACCATACAGGGACCATGCTGTGAGCCTTCCAGACCCATGTTCTGCCATCTTCCTCCACAGGAAATCCTTGCGGTAACCTCTGCCATAAAGTGCTTCGATAACCTACGCAGTGCAGGAGTGGTGGGTTATAGAGCAACCCCAGTATCTGCAGTCAGGGAGAGGGTTCAGAGGCCAGAGGAAAAAATACCCCCTAATGGGAGGCATGACTTCTCCAAAAGTGGGGAGAGCTTTGTCAGTTCATGCCATCATCCCTGAAGTTGCTCTCTTCCCACCAAAACCCCAGGCACACACACACACAAAACCATTCTGGTGGCACCCATCCATGGGCTGGGAGAGCATGAAACGGAGGGGACGCCCTAAAGAAGCCGCTCCCCAGCAGCAGCCCTAGGAACCGTGCAGAATTGCGCAGGGGCCAGTGACGACTTTCATGAGTCATCTTTTTATCTCAGAGAAAAGGAAACATTCCGAAGGGACTTCTTGAGATAAGAACAGGGTGGGACCCAAGCAGACCAAGGCAACTCAGGACCAGGACTTCAGGGAGGCCTCCCCCACTCCCAGCCTGTGAGGAGGAATTTAAAAAGAGCTGTATGTGGAGCGGTCCCTTTATCCGCCTAGGGCACATAATTCGCATTCCACTGTGGGGTCCACTCTTTGCTAAGTATTCCATTGTTGGGGTTGCCCTTCAGATACAGTTTTGACTGGGTGGGTCCCCAGAGGCCCTTCCACTCTCACCCCTGCCTTGCAGAGAGCTCTCCTCTGGAAGGGTTACTAGTCCACATATATTCTGCCTTTGTGGGGTGTGCAAGGGGAAAGGTTATAGCGCAGTTTAGAGCCCCTGGGGGTGGATCTGTTGGCTGGCTCAGGCCAGCTCCTACTTCAAAGTCTTGGCCGCCCCGCCTCCCTCCCGGAGCAGCTAAGCTGTTTGGCCCGCAGGGCCTTCCTCGCTCAAGGTCAGGGAGCAGCCAAGGCCAGGAGGGGGCCGGGGTTCCCAGCACCGCTGTCACCTGACATTTACTTAACAGTCTGTTGACTCCCGAACAATACAGTACATACCGACGTTCAGGGTACCTTCCGTCTAGTTTTCCAGTAATCCATTCTCATCAAACACGCAGGGTTTCCCTGGCCCTGCGCGGACCTGGAAAAACACAGCGCTTGGCTCGGCTCCCGGCCGGGCTGGCGGGTCCTCCCGCGGCTGGCTGGCCGGCTGGCAGCGGCCGTGCCATGGAGCCAGGCTTCCACCAGAGGGCAGC